ATTGATACATGGCAGGTTTAATATGTCTCCTAATCAGTAAATCCATGTTGTTCCCAAAGAAATTAATTATAGCTTAATATTTTTCCAATACTTGATTGTTGTTTAAATTCAGAAAAATACAAAAACATCAATACAACTCACCTTGTTAGGTTCTATGAGTTTTAAACAAAAGTACAATGTGCAAAAAAATGCATTTATTAAAAAAATGTATTTATTAAAAAAAGAAAAGAAAAGAAAAATCTTTGGGGTCTCAAAAATTAGCATCCTGGGCTGGATACAAAGCATGTTCATTTCATTTAATACAAAAAATCATTCTGAAATATTAAGATTTCACTTGATCAATTCTGGCTGTAGGGCCTCTTGTCATCCAAACTCAGTGTTTACATAAAAGATATATTCTCTAATAAAACACAATACTTTTTCATTTTCTTAAGGATTTAGGGCTAATTAACCTGTTGTTCACAGGTTGTCATTCACAATGAGGACCCAAATTTGGGTCCTCTCGTGAATAACAGATTAAATGACCTAAACAAGACCTGAAAGTCATACCAGTTTCACTCAATGGCCAACCTGTTGAAACTGTGGCAAACTTTAAATACTTTGGGTCATTCCTGGATAGTCAGCTCAACTTTGTTGAAAACACTGATTATATTTTTAAGAAATGTTCTCAGAAACTCTTTTAAGAAGACCTAGTGATCTTAGGGTTTCCCAACTAGAGGATGTGTACAAGACAATGTTGAGTGTTTAATTTTTTTATCTCCTCAGCTGATATGGTCACATGAGCACCAGAGTAAAAGACAAACTTTTAAGAATACTTTCAATGGCAGGTCAATAGTGGTGAAACCACAAACAGCTCTGTCTCAAGTATTTGGTGAAAGAACATGGAAAACATGGAATATTTTAGCAGATAGCATCCATTTTTATCAGTTTGAACCTCTGAGCTCATGAAGGCGTTATTGTGTCCCTCTGGCAAATAAGAACATCTATTAGACGTCATTTATTGACAGTGCAATAATCATTCTTAACCAAACTAAATGATAGCATGCAAAGTGTTTTACTGTATGCACAAATTGTTGATATCGTGATTCTATGATTGTTATATTTGATCATTTTACAGTTGAAGGAAATTTTCCACATTGATAGACTAAATAGTCTTATCTTACCTTTCCTATAATAATATATATGGCACCATAAAAACAAAAATGTGAATCTTGTATTTTGTTTGTATTTGTAACAACCAGATTTGTTTTTCCTTCTGTGAACCTAATTCACTTCTTTGTTATTGACTTTTGCTGTTAAGTGTCTCATGTGTACATTGTAAATAGTTTTTCATTATAGTTGAGCATGTTGCTTTTCATGTCCTCTCATTTCTTTGATTCCTCCTAAAACTGATGGAGATGTATATTATCTATAATGTATAAAAGGTCTTGTTTATGTCATTTAATTAGTTCTACAACCTTAAGAAAATGAAAAAGTATGTTAGTTGTGTTACCACCCTACGCCACTAGAGGCAGTAATAGACTCAAAGAGATGCAGATTTAGACGTACAGCGAAAGCTACAGAATTTAAGAATTGTGAGCTGCATTGAAGTAAATAAGAGACAAGTTCAAATACATGGTGAAAGAGGAACTCTTTCCTAAAGGTGAAGATATATCAGATTTCAAAAGAAAATTAAAACGGGAGACTGCGGATAATGTAGGAAATAGCGCCCCCTTTATTTCCGGATGCTATTAGTCTTATTTAAAACTATTGACTTCAAAGTTCTTACATAGCTATACGTCAGGGTGCTGAATTCAGGTGTGATGTCTGCATCCACAGCTCTCACTCGCAGAACCTCGGTGTTCACAACCTCACTCTGAAAAATGAGACAACAGAACAATTGAGAGAGAAAACGAGAAGAGATAAATGGCTGCTTCCTCATTTCTTTGAGAAAACTCTGAAGAATGAAGGTAGAAAGTTGGATATTTATTTTGATCACATTGAATAATTCATCACCAATTTTATTTCACCATCAAATTTATTTCTGCCAATCACCTGATTCTTAGATGTTGCAGATGTATGAAAGGTTTATAGTTCCTTTAACTTACCTCTGAAACGTTTTGAGAATAAAACTTCTTCTCAAATACTGGACTGTTGTCATTTATATCATTGATTATCAACCTGCGGGAGTTTTTGTACTGTAAAAATAAAAACAGAAAGTGACGGGTTTTAGTTGTTATTCAATCACTTTGTAATGTTTGCTTCATAATTTTTAATTTCACTCACTGTCACATCATTATTGCACACTAAGCTGTAGTGCAAAATTCTCTCAGGCTGCAACATAAAAACACAGAGGATGTTAGTTCTGCTGCAGCATGTTAGTATAAATTATGCTGAACATCTCAGTGAAGATCTGCATTAAACACAAATATCCAGCAAACAAATTCAGGTACAACAAAGTGGGGGAGCTTACCGTAAAGAATATATTGGCCTCGGCGTCGAGCGGCTTCTTGGTGCGAACAGTCACTGTGGTTTCCCCTGAAGTGAAGTTCAACTCCAGAAACTGAAGATGCTCAGGATAAATATCAAGCTCCAATCTCACACTAGTACCAGCTGGGATACCGGACACCAACTCCACATCACCTGCAGCAGCAAAAAATGATCCAATAAACTAAATTACCTCATGAATTCATTCATTGCACTTAATAAATTATCTGTTTCTGTAACATGACAGAGAAAAGGCATACTGAATGGAGCCAGTCAGTCTTAATTGATCTATTTCTAAACTTAATTAAATTAGTGTTTTTATCATCTTACCTGTATATCCTTCATCCACTGCACCCAAATTTACAGTGCTAGATGCTGAACCACAGGTTATGGTGGTGCTACCTGCAGAAACATAAATAACTTTAAGGAAATCTGCAGAATGAGATCATTCAGGTTTTCCCCCAAAGTTCAGAGAGGAAAATATTGCTAATATAGATTTACACAATAGAAAAATCAAATAATTTCTGTAAATGGTAACTAAATGTTTAAAATGCTCCTACTGGGACCCAACATTGTGGTCATTAGTGCTTTTATTTTGAAGAACGGTATATTTCTTCTTTGTGTTTTTTGTGACATGCTGCACTTCCTGATGAGACATTATGAGATCCTGAAGGAACCAGAGGGAAATCTTTAAAATAGAACCACTGGAAAGCAGAATGAGGTATAAACATGGACAACTGTGTTTTATGATAAAAAAGGTTATTTGTTTATGTAAGAAGTGAGTTCAGAGCATTTCATGGCCAGGCTCCTGATTATCTTTGTCAGGTTAAATATTCTGCTTCTTCGTTCTCAGACTCTGAATCTGGTTGTTCCATGAACACGGTTACAAACTAAAGTGGACCGGGCCTTTCAGTCGGTGGCCCCAAGGCGGTGGAACGGTTTGCTGTAGCAGCTCCGTTCTGCCGACTCTGTGGAGGATTTTAAAAAACAACTAGAACATTTTATTTTCCCAGGCCTTTTTCTCTTGATTTTACTGTTTCTTACGTTGGTTTTAGGATTTGTATGGTTTTAAAGCTGATTTCTAAAATCGTCCAGTTTCTAATGAAGCAAAGTACCAGCTGGGCAAACACTGAACCTCTGATTCTTACTTCCATGTCACCTAAAGTAAAAATAAGCAGTTCTTTACAGTTTCTGAAGATCAGATTCATTCTCAGTAATAAACTTGATGTTATCTGCATTACAGTAACATACAGACTTTTATATCACCTGCTGTCACTCTTATCTGCTGCTACCAGATCATTTATATGAGAAGCAAAGACAGTAGGAGACAAGACGTCACGTTGTTTAGCACCACATGGTTTTGGGAACCAGCCTGTTCTAGTCGTTCAGCTGAACACAAGATTCTGGATTTTGATAAACAGCTTTTAGATCATTATAAAATTTCCCGTCAATTCGTGTTTTTAACAACTGAAAACACAACAGTTTCCAATTAACAAAAGCTTCTTGAAAATCTATAAAGCAAAAGTAGATTTTCCTTCTAGTTTCCTGGTTTTATCAAATGTAGTTAAATAATAAATATGATCTATAGAAGCTCCTTTCTTTCTAAACCCATTCTATTTCCCTGCCAATAAATTAAGTAAATGTAAATAATTAACCAACCTGTCATTGAGAACACTGAAATAAAGTTTATAGACACAGATTAGTTGGCTAATGTCTCTGTAGTTCATAGGAACTCAGGGATTAGTAATTTGTAACTTTGAAATTGGTTTAATAAAAACATTTTGTCATTCTGACTGAACCCTGTTCAAAACAAGTAAAACAAGATTATGCAACATTTGAAACAGACCAATTTATTTTAACACTTCATCAGATAAATTATCAGCCTGTGGCTTTCATAAGTTTAAACTTATTAATAGCCACTTTAAACCCACTTTCTATAATATGAGAGTTTAAATACATATTTGAGAAACTCATTGGGATGAAATGTTCAGTCTGATTCTTAAGGACTTTTGTCCTTTCTAACTGAGAATGATCCCACTGAGGGGANAGATGCTCAGGATAAATATCAAGCTCCAATCTCACACTAGTACCAGCTGGGATACCGGACACCAACTCCACATCACCTGCAGCAGCAAAAAATGATCCAATAAACTAAATTACCTCATGAATTCATTCATTGCACTTAATAAATTATCTGTTTCTGTAACATGACAGAGAAAAGGCATACTGAATGGAGCCAGTCAGTCTTAATTGATCTATTTCTAAACTTAATTAAATTAGTGTTTTTATCATCTTACCTGTATATCCTTCATCCACTGCACCCAAATTTACAGTGCTAGATGCTGAACCACAGGTTATGGTGGTGCTACCTGCAGAAACATAAATAACTTTAAGGAAATCTGCAGAATGAGATCATTCAGGTTTTCCCCCAAAGTTCAGAGAGGAAAATATTGCTAATATAGATTTACACAATAGAAAAATCAAAGTATTTCTGTAAATGACAAATAAATGGTGAAATGCTATTATTGGGACCCAACAGTGACACATTGTGGTCATTAGTGCTTTTATTTTGAAGAACGGTATATTTCTTCTTTGTGTTTTTTGTGACATGCTGCACTTCCTGATGAGACATTATGAGATCCTGAAGGAACCAGAGGGAAATCTTTAAAATAGAACCACTGGAAAGCAGAATGAGGTATAAACATGGACAACTGTGTTTTATGATAAAAAAGGTTATTTGTTTATGTAAGAAGTGAGTTCAGAGCATTTCATGGCCAGGCTCCTGATTATCTTTGTCAGCTTATAACTACACTGAACAAATATATAAACTCCCCATGTCAAATATAAGAATTTTTTGAACATTTGGGTTACACAATATATGGAGAAACTTCAAGTATTGATCTTCATATTGGCATTGATAACATCTATGGCCATTTGTAGCATATTGACAGTCCTTTGAACATAATGGGGGTCAGGTTGAGGAATTAGATTTTGACCCAGTTGGCTTCTCATAGGCGGTTACAGACAGTCTGAGGTGTGATGATGCGTTTGTTGTGCTGACCAATAGTCTCATCAGCTGTGTGTGTCGTTGGTCTTAGCCGATGGACGGACGAGCCGGATGTGGCCATCTTGTGGTGGAGTGGTCACACATGACCAATGAGGATGAGGTCAATTTGCAGTAGTGCCAGTCTGCTGGAAACAAACTCTTAAACGGCTGATGGTCCGATAATGGACACTGAGCCGTGCAGCTACTGCTCTAGTGGACATCCCTGCATCCAGTATGCCAATGGCACGTTCCTGAATAACTTGAAACATCTGGCATTATGACTTGTGACAAAATTTTATATTTATTGCCCCCAGTACAAGGATTGTCCAGTTATTGCTCATTTTGTCTGATCACCCTCTGGACATGCCCCACCCATGCACTGAGTAAAAGAACAACTCACTGAGTAATGCTCACTACTAAGTTGGATTAAAAATTATACACAAATCAAGAGAAATATTTCTTTTATCCAATAAAATGTCAGCAAATGCTAATTTACAGTTGGGTTGGCAGCAAGGTTTGTCATGGGGTGTTTATATTTTTGTTCAGGTTAAATTTTCAGACTCTGAATCTGGTTGTTCCATGAACACGGTTACAAACTAAAGTGGACCGGGCCTTTCAGTCGGTGGCCCCAAGGCGGTGGAACGGTTTGCTGTTGCAGCTTCGTTCTGCGACTCTGTGGAGGATTTTAAAAAGCAACTAAAAACATTTTAGTTGCTTATCTCTCGATTTGACTGTGTTTCTTATGTTGATTTAGGTTTTGCATGGTTTAAGGATGATTCCTAAGTTCCTAATGAAGCAAAGTACCAGCTGGGCAAACACTGAACCTCTGATTCTTACTTCCATGTCACCTAAAGTAAAAATAAGCAGTTCTTTACAGTTTCTGAAGATCAGATTCATTCTCAGTAATAAACTTGATGTTATCTGCATTACAGTAACATACAGACTTTTATATCACCTGCTGTCACTCTTATCTGCTGCTACCAGATCATTTATATGAGAAGCAAAGACAGTAGGAGACAAGACGTCACGTTGTTTAGCACCACATGGTTTTGGGAACCAGCCTGTTCTAGTCGTTCA